TTCGTTTAACAAGATTAAAATTAGGTACACCATTAAGATTAATGGGTGATTTTGAAGGTGCAAATAAATGTGTTGAAGTAATATTTATTTAAAAAAAAAAAAAAAAACTTTAAGACTTATATAGATATTTGTAATCATAGGAAGCTATGCGAGCAGCATCTAGTCTCGGAGATCGACCAGTTCAAGCCAAGTGTCTTGTATGCATCGGTGATATACAACGTTCGCAAAACAATAATGAGGTAGGTAGGAAGTCATACACAAAAACAAATAGACGTAAATATAGTGATGTTTGATCGATAACAAGTTACCTCCCGGTGTGGAATACACACACATATTGCCATTTAATAAACATATGCTTTAATCGTGATGTCTTACGTCTATCTTTCTTTTATCTTTATGTATCAAGGTCGCATGTAAAAAATACGAAGCAGCTATTCAGATGTTACAAGATATGAACGATCGATATAGTTATACGCTTGCTATGATTGGTCTGGTTAAATCATTATTGGCACTTAATACACAAAAACAAATGGTAAGTAATTAAGAAAATTAAAATGTTTTCTTTTGTTTATCATTTTTTTTCCATATGAATCAAAGAAATTGTAAAAGAAAAATTAGTTTTTAAAATATATAATTTAATAAGACTCGTATTTTGTCAACTACTAATTGTTACTAATGACATAATAATTATATATGATGAGAATGTCAAGCTTTATCTGGTCTATCATTTATATTCTCGATGATATTTCTATCATCTATAGTCTTTAACAAGGAAAAGAGGATAAGATTGATTTTAATGATTTATTTGTTATATTATCAACAAATAAGATAAATATTCTTTTACCAATGATAATTAGAAAAAGCATTATGATATATATGTAAGTACATCCATGGCATGACATTTGATTGAATGAACTTGTTATTAATGGTAGACATTTATAGTATGAATCTATAATAACGAGAAAATAACACATATTTCTTTGACAGTCAAAAATCTAGTAATTATATTGTATATGATGTTGCGTTTATTTGGAAAACTTTTAATTAGAGATACAACAATACTAGAATAAATTTGAACCAAAGATATTGAAATCGGATTTAATTTTACATTTGGTCTTAACTGATCCAAATCTAAAAGGTTTGGTAAGATAAGATGTCAACAACAACAGTATACTTCACTAGGGGTGCATCATGCTCAAAAAACAATTTAGAATTTGAGATAAAATCTAAACTCAAATCCGAATCTCAATCCTTAAACCCAAACCTAATAAGACAAATTGTAAGGCTTTGGATCTGTTGCATCCCTTCTTTTAGTATTATATAATCTAGGAGAGGTTTACGAAAAATTGAATTTGTCCTGTTTTGTTTTTATAATTATCAAGTTACTAGGACTTTCATATTTTTCATCCTTTAGCTTCTTGAGTACATGAGTCGTCTTGGATGTGTGGGTTTTCTTCATCCACATCAGCAATGAATGCAAAAGGGAATCACACTTCTTTCAACAGATTTTTCGTAGAAGACAAGACTTAAAAATGAGCTGACATTACCTCGAATAACTTTTTTATGATCATGATCACTTCCTCTCCCATCATAAAAAGCCTAGATCTACCCTTGATTCATACTTCAAAAGGACTAAAGGGACATCAAAAAATTCTTATAGCTTGAGAAGGTATATAAACATAAAAGTAAAACGAAATAAATTTGATTTCTGGTGAACCTATATAATCTTTTAGGCAAATGATATTCTTGCAACAGCATTATCAACATCAACATCAATGGGTAATAAACTATTACAAGCTCGATGTCATCTATTAAACGAACGTATACTTACATTGGATAATCGATTAGACGAAGCTCGATGTGTACTAGATACAGCTCAACGTCTTTATCAAGAAGCAGATCTTATATGTTCTGTTTGTAAAATGTCAATGGGTATGAAACCTGATCGTATACAAATTTTACCATGTACACATATATTCCATGAACGGTAATAAAAATGTTCATTTTCTTGTTTTTATTATCAAATTATCTTTATTGATTAGATGTATTATGGATTTATTGCAAAAATGGACTCATCAAGCCCAATCATGTCCCAAATGTAATCAAAATGTTTTATTTAGTAGAAGTTATATTGCATTATTATGTTCTTGATAAATAATCTAATTTATTTTTTATTTTTTTGTTTAAATTTCTAATGTCAAATCTCGGTGAAATTTTTTTATAAAGTTAATCAGATGTTAAGGAAGAGAAAAAAAACCAACGCAAGTAAAAAGACTATGAATCACAAGAATATCATAATAAACTAATCACAATTCTATTGTTTATTTTTTATAATTATAAAAACCAGCGCCAGTTTTCTTGCCCAATTTACCTTCACTAACAATTTTATTTAATAATTCACTTGTTTTAAATGATGGTTCATTAGGATAACGTTTTTTCCATCCATCAACAATATATTTTGATGTATCTAAACCTACATAATCTAATAATTCAATGGGTCCCATTGGATAACCAGCACCTAATTTCATAGCTGTATCAATATCTATAACAATAATATATTATAAAGACAAAAAATTTAAAAAAAAACTTTGATATTTGTTTATTACCTTCAGCTGTAGCATCACCACGTTCGATCATTCGAACTGCTTCAAGAAGATACGGTACTAATAAACGATTAACAATAAAGCCTGGTGTATCCTAGAATAGAACAGATGAAAAAGAAAATCGTTCGTTAGTAATGAAACGTCATAAAATTAAAGCATGTGTATCTGAAGATAATCGACGTGTCTAGAGCAAATTTTTATATCTTACATGTATTTTACGTTACTCAATATATCCTGAAAAAATTAGCATTAAAAGATATCGAATAATAAGACATAAATTTTTGTTTAGATAGTTGATATGTGTCTAGGGCACTGGTTTTAAAGAGAAATCTTACTGAAAGTATCATCAAAGATGTAGTTCTTATTGTAAAGTTCATCTTGAAGTTTTCGGATATTGTTCTCATATAGTTAAAGTGATATTTGCTATTTGCTTTTTGATTAATTAATTAGCGAACTATTATCTGGTTTAAAAAAAAACGAGCTGCTACTATTTGAATAAGTTTTAGTAGCAACAAGAAAGAGATCTGCAGTTTACAACATTCAAACGGAGAAGAGTGAGTATTGTCGAACTATATCGAAATTGGATGGATTAGCAATGGATCAATCAGATGAGTTCTTGACCGAGATTTTTGAAAACGATATTCTCAAGCTATTTTCATTTCGGTTCCGTTCCAAAGTTATAAGACTATTGTCGAGATCTTCGATTTCAGCCAATTGATCTGTGATTATCTAAAAAAACTACTTGACAGAGACAATTTCCATGTGGCGACGAGCGGCGATATTTGCTTCAAGATTCATATTGATCTGACACTGTTATCTTAATATTTCTGAGATAGATAACAGAGACAGATCACAAGTCAAGAGGCTAAAAATCAAGGGGTCTCAATAAAAGTCTTATAACTCTCGAGCGGAACTAATTAGGAATCTTGGCTGTGTATAGATCAACAGAGAAGAATCTTTTCTATTGATTAGTTCTAATGAGAGTCTAAGTTAAAAGGAAAATAATTGCAGAATATTGTTTTTAACAATCTCTATCAAGAATTCACTTGATTGGTCAATGCTGACTAATCGAATTTCGATATAATCTGATGATTCCAGATCTTCTCTGTTGAATTATTAAAATCGTAGTTCTTTAGCTCTTTTTTATTTTTTGAGTTATTGCACAAATACTCATGATTATTATGTTTTTGGGCAAACATTAGTCAATTAATTTTAATTAATATACAGCTGAAATAGCTAACATTTTTACACATATCTATATTAAAAGAACTTATTCGGAAAAATAACTTAAGTAACGGATCAAAATCAAATGAAAGATCAATACATTTTGTTTTGCATGAAATAGCCCAGATATTCAAAAAAATAATAGATTATAGAAAATTTAAAAATCTAACATACCTTGCATGATACCGTTGTTTTACCTAATGCTTTACCAAAAGTTAATAATGTTTGAAATGTTTCATCACTTGTTGCTGATATACGAATAACTTCGAGTAATTTCATAACCGGTCTAAGAACAAATTGAAATTCTAATGAGAAAACGTTCGTTTTTTTTGTTTAAAATCAACTCAACAAAAAATAAAGATTTTCTTCATTATAACTTACACTGGGTTAAAGAAATGTAAGCCACCAAATTTATCTTTTCGTTGAACATCTTTAGCAATATCAGTAATTGGTAATGATGATGTATTACTTGTAAAAATCGTATGTCTAAAATATAAATAATCATTCGAAAGTATATATATATTTATATCAAGAATAGATTTATAAATATACTTTGGTGCAGCTTGATCAATTTGTTTAAATAATTTTTGTTTGATTTCAAGGTTTTCAACAATTGCTTCAATAACAATATCTGTTGATTGTACAGCATCATTAACATTTGTACTTGTTTTAATTCGACTATTAACATCATTTAAATATTTTTCTCCACCTTGTTGATCTTTTTCAAATTTTTTTTTAATAACACGTTTTAAACTTGTTTGTATTATATTTAGACTATTATCAAGAAATTCTTGTTTTTGATCAACAATAATAACTTGATGATTCGTTTCAGCAGCAACCTATATGAAATTTTTCTTATTGAAAAAACAAAAAAACAAAAACATTGATTTGATGTTTTTAAAAACTTGCTTGAGCTATTCCTGAACCCATAAGACCACCTCCAATTACAGTTACAGTTTTAATAGTTCGTCCTAGTGAACTATTAACTTTATTAGCAATTGATGAAGTAGCCATCTGAAAAAGAATATATATATATATATAAGTTTATTTATATAAACCAACACCTTTACAATAAGTTCAGTGGTTTTTTTCTTTTTATAAATAAGAATATAATTATACATGACATAAAACAACAATTGAAAATACATTTTAGTTTAAAAAGGAAAAAATAAATCACTGGGTAAGTGGCGTTGTTGGTACACGCATACGTATTGTAGCTGGTCGAAAACAATGCATACATCTTTGAAGTTGTTCTTGATCTAAACGAGCACAACATTCTTGACACATTGGAAAATGTTGACAAGGATCATATTCATGTGTAGCTGCATTTGCTGTACATATAAGACAAGCATTATCTATTGTTTCAGAACTTGCAATATTTAGACTTAATGAACGAGATGAAAATGAATTTATTCTATTAACTGGTGGACGTTCACTTTTACGTTTTGTTGCACCTGAAAAAAAAAAAAGAGAATTGAATTAAATTCAAAAAGAAGAAAAAAAAACAAGTTATTAGTGCAGCGTCTTTGAAGGCTTTAATGTGAAATTCATATGTTTTCTTTAGCTTCATAATACTAGTACAAAATACACTCTCTCGCCTTACAGAATAAAAGGTCATGGCCTTCTATTTATGGCAAGTATTTTGCTAACATTTACCTAGAAAAAAACAAGAATTTTTCGAAAACAAAAAAACTCTTCTAATATTCAAACAGGAGTTTTTAGTAAATAAATGTCGCGGAAAACATTATTTTTACTTGTTCAAAAGCTGGGTTTGTTAATGTCAAAATTCTCTGAGTTTTTGAAAAATCCATAGCATTCTATTATGTCTTATGAAGTTTTTCTTATGTATGATCTTTTATTCTGAAAGACGGGATTTACATATTGTGCAAAATCTCTAACATACTTAAGTTGTTTTTGAAGAATAATATATCGCTTGAAAAACGATTTGTCTTATTTTATCTCAAGCTCTTACATAAAATGTCTGAAAGTATTTTTTGATTGAATTAGCCTTGTATTACTTGTCTGTGTTCTGTCTAGGTCGATTGAAATAGGGAACGGTTGTCAAATATATATTGAATCCGGCTATTGATAGCAATCAGCCTTTTCTTTTTTATCTATCGAGACATTATTTTATGCTTTTTTTTTTGTTTAATATTTAGTAAATTACGTTTAGAAAAACTGCAACCTGTATGAAACTAATATAATATTCTGAATTCATTTTTAATAGCAACTTTAAAATTTTTCTTAGAGTCTAGTGTTTTTTTGCTTGATGTTTTTATATCATGATCAAACTCTATGAAAACTAGCTGGACCAATCATCAAATTGATAAATAAAAAAGCTGAATGTACAGCAGATCTCAACGCAATATTATATATCTACATAAATTACAAAAAGAAAAAAGATTAATAACTTACCACTTTTATCAAATATAATACGTTTAATTTTTTGTGTACCAAACACTTCATATTTTAATCGTCCTTGTGGAACTAAAAATAACAAAATTACAATTGAATCTAGAAAACTATATATATATATATTGAATATACTTCGTCCACATTCTAAAATAATACGATTCACATAATCAAGACCGCGTACTTTTTGAATAAAATCACAAAGAGGATAAAACGTTGCATGTTCTTCAAATGGACAATCGCTAGATGAAAATTACAAAAAAAAAAAAAGGAAAATTTAATCATTATTTTAATTGAATAAGAAAAAAAAAACAAAATTTATTTAAATACCGTGGTTCAAAATTTTGTAATTTATTACCACAATAATAACAACAAACATTACCTCCACCCATATAGAAAAATCCAGCTTCGGCCATCATTTGATTCGAAAGACGACTACCACTTGGATAAACCCAATCAGATGTAAATGATTTAATACGTTTTTCAATTTTTGAATAAGATGGAAATTCTGGATAAAGCAATTGACTTTTTAACTATAAGAAAAATCAATTTATGCTGTTTTTTTTTGTTTTATCTTAAAAACAAACAAACTTTCATACCATTGTAACATTTGGATAAAGTCCACCGGCTTCTCGTCTAACCCATGTACACCATGGATGAGTTTGATCCATCATTATTCCATTTGCATGTCGATGTACACGCATAGGTGTCCATGGTTCATCACTTACTGCTGAACGTGCAACAGTTGGTCGTGTACGCATAATATCTTCAAATTGTCTTTCAGTTAAATAGACTTCACACCATGGACATTGAATAGCAGTACCTTCACCATTTAAATAAAATCCAACATAAGCAAGATGTGCAACAGGAACTTGTGCAAATGTTTCACGATTATGTTTTATAAATGTATCTAAACGATTTGATTCATGAGCGAGTAACGAACGTATATCAACTGGAGAAGAAATAGATGGTGAAGATTCAATTAAAGGTGATAAGTCATGTGAACCACTATCTGATGAAGTACTCTCGTTGTTACGTTCACGTCTTTGTTCTTGTTCTTTAATTTGTTTAAATGGATTTATATTCTTTGACATACTAGCCGGCGTTACTTGACTATGACTAGGACCATTACAAGTGATAGGATCTGAACATGTTTCAGCTTTTACTGTTGTTAATGATTCATGTGGTGTTGCTGGTGGAGGTGGTGTTGCTGGTGGAGGTGGTGATTGTAGAGGTGCTGATAGAGCTGGTGATTGTGGAAATAGAATACCAGAAATAAAATGCGTAGTAGATGGTACAGCTACAGGTTCAAGATCTTCATCTTCTGAAGAATCTTCAGATTCTTCGGATAGAAAAATCTCATCAATCTTATGTGTCAACGATGGAGATGTATCATTAACGTTAGGTGATATAGTCAAATTAGCTGATACAGTATCTGTACCATTAAACATCGGTGATGTCGTTAAAGTAGACGAGGCAGAATCTGCAGTCGCTGGAGATAATAATGATGATGTTTGTGCATAATATGATGTTTGACTTTGTGCTTCATCTAATACAAAATAAATTGAAATTTCATTTAGAAAGAAATATAAATATTTACTTGATTTCTTTCGATCATGAAGAACTTGTGCAATATATTTAACACCTAATATTTCTTTAACCCATTCACATGTTGGATAAAAATGAGCATGTAATTGTGCTATATTATATTGTGAATATTTTTCTCGTCGTATTTTATCACTAATTGGTATTGCATTACCACATTGAAAACATCGCATACGTCGTTGTTCTATAGAAAATCATATACTTTAAGATATAAAATAAATAATAATTTTTTACCATCAAGAAAAAATCCTGCTTCTGCTTTCTCACGTATAGAATAAGTATCAGTTCTATGTCTTTCTTTAGAATTCTCAAATGATTTAATACGATCAAATATTGATGAATATCGTGGATATTCTGGAAAACGTTCTCGATGTGGTATAACAATATTAGCTGGACATTGTGCACGTACCATAAGACAATCAACTGTTGGTCCTTTGTGTTGATCATTTGTTGTTGTTGTTGTTGTTTTTTTTTTAATTGATTGTTTAGTTAAATAACGATGTTGTGACATAATTGACTGACCTAATTTTGGTTCAATTGTTACACCACAATATGCACAACGAATAAATTTTGTATTTTTAAAACGATAAAAACCACATGCAGCTAATTCACGACATAAACGTTGATCATTTTCAAATTGATTAGGATCATTTGTATTTGATTCACTAAATGATAAACCAAGAAGTGTTTCAAGACGCCATTTTTCATTAACAGTTTGTATATCACCAGTTTTAATACTATCAATTGCACGTAATACTTCACAATCATTTTTACGTTTACGATGTGTACCAACAGCAGTCATACCATAACGCCAATCATCAACTTCAAGATCACACATAAAACATTTTACACGTAATTCTTCACCTAAATAATAAAATCCAGTATCAGCTAATGCTTGCGCTGATATAGGAGCATTTCGAGGCCATTTTTCAAATGTTGCTAAACATTCATCAATTGTTTGAGGTTTTTTTTCATTACTTATAGACATAGTTAAAGGTTTTGATGTCATTGGATTACGATCACATCGTTCTATACAAAATATTATTAAAATAGAATTTTTTGTAATTTATAATTGTCGTTGATATTTACCTTGAGTAGAAACTGTTTGAAAATATCCAGCATCAGCAACAAATTTAACACCAGCTGTATAAATAACAAAACGACATGGAAAAAAACGTGCATGTTCAAGTTGAACAATATTTTCATTTGTAGAACATATTGCTGATGACCAATCAACTAAAGTATTACCACAATAGAAACATGTTACACCATCATTAGGTCCTAAAATAAAATGATATAAAAAAATTCTTATCTAAAATAAATAAATGAATAAATAAAAAAAACCTGAAAAATAAAATCCATGTTTAGCCATTGTTTGTGGTGTAACAAATGTTTTTTGTGCTCCATTAATTTGTTTTTGTGATTCAGGCCATGATTCAAATGTTTGAAGACGTACTGTATAATTAATATATTCAGGTTCTTCAGCATCATCCCATTGTGGTTGTTGTTTTGATGATAATGGTGTATGAAGATCATCAATATTTGTACCAGATTCACATAATAAAAAAGAACAACGTTTTCCAAGAAATGAAACTTTTTTTCGATGTAATTTTCGAAAATAATTTGAAGCATATTCAGAATTTTCATCGATATTTTCAAGATTTATACTAACACCACATTGTGAACATACACATTCATCTTCTCGATAAATAAAACCAGCAAGTGCCAATTGACGACGTGTTATGGATGGAAGATGTGTTAGACTACAAAACAAAAACAAAAAATAAGAATTTATTTTTCATCATCAAAGATAATTACTTCTCAAATGTTTGCAGTCGATATCGTTCCGATGCAACAATGTGATCAATTTCAGAGATTTCTGTTGTTGTTGTTGCCGTCATTAGCAAATCTAGCGCATTTTTTTACCTGATGAATTTATCAACATTATCTAAAATGTAATGAAAAGAAAATACCATTGTTGAAAAACAAATAACCATTTTAGTATGTTTGAGTCAGAGTAATTCGTTTTTTCTTTCTCTTCGCCTGTTTTTGCATTCTGTTTGAGCGTAGCTTCAGGGTATATGAAACACTCTTTTGAATAGAACGTGACAATACAACGTAAGTTTTTTTATTCTCTGAGTGTTTTCGCTACGCAATCTATTTCATAGTCATTTCTTTTTTTGTTTTCTCTCTAACTGGCATGTGCTATATCATCTGATCAAATAAATGACCTTCTCTTATTCATTACTCCTACAAAAATAAACTGTTCTATGATGTATAATACCACATTAGTCCTATTTATTTCTTAATCATCTAGTAAATACTTAAAATAAATACTCCCTATTTTTTCTATTTATACATGAAAGAAATAAGTGCCTATATTCTATGGATGCTATAAATTAAATATATATATAGGTATTCAACTAAAATTCGACAAACATACAACATTCTAACACGTGATGTACCATGCATCAAAGAAACGCAAAAAAGAAACAACAAAAAGATACCGGCGCTCTTTTTTTTTTTATTAAAAAAACAAAGTTCGAATAACAATAAGTAAATTCGAAGCAATAACAACAAAAAACAAGAAATTTTTATCGCTTGCTTTTCTTTGTTGGTGGTGCAGACTTTGATCTAAATGATAGAAAAAAGCAAATGTAATGATAATATGAATAAATTTTTTCTTCTTACTTTCGTTGAGGTTTATCCTTTGTTAAATCAGTTTTAAATGAAGAAGATTCTCTTGATCGTTTTGACGTATCTATATTAAAAATTCCTATTAAATAATTTGTCTTTTATTATTTATTTCAGTTCTTACTTTCAGTTTGACGTGTTTGAAATTTGGCAACTTTTTCCATTTCAAATTTAACACGATCATCTGCCTAAAAATCAAACGAATGTTTTTGTTTTGTTGAATTTGAATTTAGACAAAAAAAAAACAAGATATTACAGTTTTTGGTATTGATTTATTTTTTTGTATTTGTTCACGTTCTTCTTTTGATAATTTCTTTTTCTTACCATTATAAGAATCTAAACGTAATTTTTCTTGTTCTTGTAAACGTTCATTACGAGTTTGAAACCATTCACGTTTTGGATTAGTATCATTGGTTTTATTTTGTTTTAAACGTTTTTCAGCTTTATCAAGCTAAAATATTCAAGAAAAAAAAAAACAAGCAAAATAAATAAAATTAACAAAATATGAAATTAAATTTTTGTACTTGTGTTTCACATGATTGAAGCATTTTTTCACCATATTCCATTTTAAGAATATCTTCAATATCTGGTTCAAGTTCTTCAAGTTTATTGCGAAAGATTTGAATTATTTCTTAAGAAATAAAAAATGAATAAAAAAAAGAAGAAGTCTATTTTTTATTTTCAAAAAATTTTACCTTGAGGTATAATACGCATTTTAGCTGGAACTTTACATGTTTTTAAAATATCTTTTAATAAATGTCGTTCATTTTCACCAACAAGTGATATTGATCGTCCTATAATAAAATAAAAAAAATGAAAATTATGTCTACTCTCCAATGATTATTTATTAATAAACGTGTTATTTTACTTCAATTTTTGATACTAACATATTCTGTATATCGGAAAAACATCATAAATAGAAAGTATGAAAATTAATTAGTACGGTCTTATGATAGTACGTCTACTATTGGACGAATAATATAAGACATGTAGGATAAATACCTGTCCATGAATAGTCTATTGCTAACTGGCGACAAAGTTTAAAGTGCATAACGCAAGTATATTAGTCGATTTAATTCTTTCTAATCAATTTTCAAATGAAAAACTATTCATAGACGAAATGTCATAATATAATAGTAAACATTTTCGTCATCAGCAAAGCACTTATTAGCAAAAAAAAAGTCATTTTGATGAAATTTTGTTTTTTTATTTTTCATTATGATTGGATAATCTATTCAGAGATTGTGACATCTTTTGGAATAGCTTTGTATCTTATAAATGTCTGTATAGATACATAGACTTAAAATGTCACTTATGTGTCATTTGCTATAAAAATATCTATCAAACAGTATGTTTCCCAAAACACAAAAATATGACAGAACATATAAACAATAAAAAAACATCAAAATAGAAGATGTTTGTAGAGTATCTCTTTCAGCTGTTTTATTCATTATTGTTTCTTAAATGTTGAGATCTTATGATTATCTATTGACTAACTAACTTAATATTTCATTATAACTACAATAATAAATATAGCACTCTTATCTCTCAAATTAATTTCGCTTTATTCAATATTCCAAAATGAAAAATTGTAGAAAATAATGGCAAAGAACTTGGTGATAAGAAGCTATGTTAGAATATATTCTGAAAAACTGATTCTGAATGTCAATAGCTTTCAAAAATCTGGTATACGTGGTGGCGACTAACTGACCAGAGTAACAGCAGTGTCGTGGCCGATATATCTTAAAAATTTTGCGATCACTGGCGACGTCTCAGCTGATCGACTTAAACCTCTATATATAGCTTTCTTTGATTAGATTAATAGTTCTTTTGAGATTAGTTATTAATTATTGGCAGCTTATAGATTTGATTTATTTGAAGGCTAAGTTTTAGTAACTTAATATTCTAAATTTTCTCGTTTGTTTTTTTTTTGTCTTTACCTGTTTTTCCTGCTCGAGCAGTTCGACCAACACGATGAATATAATGTTTAAGTGTATTCGGTAAAATAAAATTAATAACCTTAAAATAAATCATGATAAAAAACAAACAAACAAAAATTTCATTTGTATATTTACCGTTTTAACACTTTCAATATCAAGACCACGTGCAGCTAAATCTGTTGCAATTAAAATATCAATTTCTTCATTTTTAAATCTTTTCAATGTATCCAATCGCTAGAAAAATCAAATTTAAATCTTACAAAATTTTCTTTTTCCCAAATAAAATAAAAAAAATAAAATAAAATAAAACTTTCTATTTACTTGTGTTTGAGAAAGGTCACCATGTAATTCACCTATTTTAAGTCCAAGTAAACCAAGCATAACATGCATACGATGGCATTGTCGTTTTGTTTGTGCAAATACAATAACACGATCATTAAATGTTCGTGTAAGTAAAGCAGCAATAATTGCTTCTCGATCACCTTCACGATGTTCACGAATACGAATAAATTCTTGACGAAGATATGGTGCAACAGATTGATTATCATCAATAAATAAACGTATAGGACGATTAAGTGATACTTGAATAAGGTCTTTAATCTGCATAAATAAAAAAAATATCCTGAGGAGAAAAAAGAATATCTAATAAAAAAAACAAATACTTGATCAGTCATTGTAGCTGAAAAAAGCATTGTTTGACGTGTACGTGAACAATTATTAATAACTTCTTTCATTTGTTCAAAATAATATTCATCTAACATTCTAAAAGAATCAAATTTATTGACAAAAAAAAAAAAATGAAATTATTTATTTACCGATCAGCTTCATCAAGAACTAATATTTCAATATTTTGTAAAGTAAATGATGGTGAATTATGTATATGATCAATTAAACGACCTGGTGTTGCAATAACAATATCAGGTTGTAAACGTAATGATGCTTCTTGAGATTTTAAATCCAAACCACCTAATAATAATTCAAATGACATAGGAATAAGAACATGATAGAACAAACAAAAAAAAACAAAAGAAAGAATATACCAGTTGAAAGACAGGTAGTTATATTATGAGCAAATTGAGTTAATTGACGAAATACTTGATGAATTTGAACACATAATTCTCGTGTTGGTGCCAAAATAAGTACACGTGTACAAGGTGCAGTTTGATGAGGTTTATAAAGAAGTCGTTCAAGAATAGGTAATGCAAAAGCTATAGTTTTTCCTAAAATATAAATATACAAAATCTTTCAAACTATCAATTTAAGTGAGATTTATCAAAATTTTCATAAATTCAATAAGTAAAAGAAATGACACTTTCTTCAGTAGTAGAACAAAGTCTTTTTTAATCTAAAAGTGTCTTTCTCAAAAATAGAACAAAAAATCGTTCGTACAACTCAATTTATATCAAAGAGTATTTTCAATAAACCTTCAGATTTGAGCTAGAATTGAACATGTCAATCTCTAGTCATGTCTATTTAAGTTAAAGTAAAGTTTTTTTTTAATTCGTATAAGTTTTCGATGAAAAGCAAAGTCATTACGTATCGATTACTTATGTGAATTATTCAACTCTCAATCAAAAAGATGACTGTGAAAGTTTAGACATCCGTGAAACATCTAATCATTGATTTTCCATAGAGATTAGGCTAACCAAGAATAATCTATTGTGAAAGCTTCAGATAGTTTCATTGTTTCTGTCTTATAGTACAGCTATACTAAAAGCTTATCTTTTGCATTACTCATATATGTCGACAGATTGAATGTTCTTATTTCTGAAAACGAATGAATCAAAAAATGGAAAACTTGCACAATAAACTATTCTGGCTAAATCTTGCTTCTCTGCGAAGTTGAAAGTCGAAATCCGAAAATTAGTTTGCTTAGTGCTCTGCAGACAGAACCACATATTGACTTTAAGTACTCGAAATGATACTCGCCGTTTCAGATCATGTTAGGTTATTACTAAAAGAATTCATGCTTGTCGATCTCTCGAGCTGAATGATGTCCGTTTTAATGAAGTTTGGATATTTTACTAGTCAGATCGAAATACCATTATTTGATTTATCAGTAAATACTTAAACCTCGATTGAAACTTCAGTCATAACATGGCTCTCAAGACCCCATGAGGAATAAATCCTTTTAGGACTTCTCTATTTCTATCGAAATCTTTTTGTAAAAACTTATATGAACTCACACAACGAATATCAATGCAAGTAATTTCCTCTTCAGCTAAGGACTCGGTTTCTTTTTAGACTATTCATATCTAATCAAATCT